ATAACAAAATAATAATAATAATAACTAAACTATAATGTGTTTAATAACAACAACAACATTTATAATAATAATTGTGTTAAAGATAATTATTTTAGGACAATAAAATATTTTAAAATATTAAAATACTATATTATTATTATTATTTAAAATATTAAACTCAGTTGTATATTTTAGTTATTTATATTTTTGGCACCCAGTGGCCTGTAGCACGAAGCCAGTTTGAGCAAACTCTTGAGTTTTCGGGCTTAAGAAGATGGGTTACCATGGTAACTTACGCTAAACGGCTACCCTGCTCCGAAGCAGGTTTTATTCTGGGTTAGAGATCGCAAACCCAAGCTGGACCAATCAGCTGTGAGCAAAGTGACATATATCTGATGCAGTGAAGCCACTCCCCCATATCTCTCACTCCAAATTAAAGCAGTTGACAGTCAAAGAATTTTAGAGACAAAATTGCCTGACTTTTGCAGCTACTTATTTATTATATTTATATTAATTAATTATATTATATTAATAATTCATATAATATATTCATATAATTATTATATGAAGTGACAATTAATTTTAAGCTTTGTATTTAAATCTTTGTATTTATATATATATATATATATATACTGTATATACAGTATATACACACACACACATAGATAAGCTTTAATACATCCGACTTTTAAAATGACTAAACTTATATGTTTTCCTTTTGAGCTCTGTGTGAAACTATATATAAATAATTAAATTCAGTTGATTCCTCTGCATAGTCATATATTTTCTTTCTGCTGTCAAACTTTTGCTGCAACAGAATTGTGTATTCCTGCCTTGTAAATGCATTTACATTTATTAAATTTTTAATAACGACATCTCTTAATCTTCAACAGAAAAGTGAATTGCGCTGACTCTCGTGAGAAGTGAATCCAAGTGATGCTTTGCTGATGCTCTCCATGTTCCGTGTGATTGGCTGTTTGCTGCACGTGTCACGCTTTCAGGTGCACGCGCTCCAGAGTTATTCACAAACTCTGGTTCAAACTCAGAGTTGGCAGAGAATGCTTATATCGAGCTTTGTGAGCCTGGTGAACCTGATCTAAACCAGGTTGACTTTATCGGGTTTGGTCAACTCAAAACTTACTCTGCAATTTGGAGTTTGTTCATCTCGTTTCATGCTACAGATCACTGGTGTTGTTATTTATCATTCTGTTCAGTTTTGTAAAATATGAATATGAAAAAAAAGACATGCTGTTTCAAGTAATGCCAAAGTTATGTGGCTTGAAATCCTAGCAATACTGCAGTCACATGCGATCACATTTAATTAGATGGACCCTTACTGTGTCATGCTGTCATGCGGGCACATTGTGGTTCTAATCAACTGTGATCTGTTATGACTGAGAAAAGATTGACCTTTGACACAGGTAACTAAAGATTGGAAGAGATGGTGTCTGTTCAGTGTGTCTGCTGGAGAATGATTAACATCTGTCTTGTGTCAGGATTGGACTATGAAAGTGCTGCTGCTTTCTCCACCATTAATCATCTGGTTCAGGACAGGGCTTATCGAGTTGACGTTTGAGACTCCCTCCATGTACATTTACTTTGTAAAAACACATCTGACCTTGGGCAAGGACATTTTTGATTAATTGGCTGATTGGCTGAAGGTAATTTAATTTGAATATGTCCCTCAGCAGCTGTAAAGGGATGGAGGGTGGACTACCTCCTCATGAAGGTCACACTGCTCATAACCTCTAAGCGTCCTGCAACAGGCTTGTGTGCAGAAGTGTGCAGTTATTTATGTGTGTATGTGTGTGTGAGAGTTTTCCCTCAGGAGACATGCCTTATTTGTGCTCTATGCTAGTACCTAGTCAGGTAATCTTTAACTGTAAAGTTTTTTGTTGTTTGGTCCCCTCACCTTGAGTAGAGGTGGAATGCAGCAGGAACAAGCAGAGGGTGGTCAGTGTTTGGGTTTTAGTTTCTATGTTAGGCTGATTACTAAGGTAAAATCTGCACTGGGACGCCCTCCTGTTTAGGCGAAGAGATTTCTAACCATGGCACTGCCGTCCTTGCACAAAGTTTTGACTCGAAACTGAACTATCAGTTGAGAACTTTAACTATCAACAAATGTTCTAAAGGAAAAAAACCTTTTGATTTTGGTCATGAAGAGCTCAGCTTTGTGGGTTATAGTGGAATGTGCCAGCAGAGTTTTTGGCATCTCTACTGCTGCAGGTAGGACTGTGTCTTTGCTGTTCTTTTGTAGGCCATTGTTTCACTGAAAGTGCTATACATAACCTTCAAATATAAAAATATATTTTATGCATTAGTAGTCACCATTATGCAATGTTTTACCCTGTGATTGAAGTATAGAATTCTAAAATGTGCATTTTGTGCTCATTACCCAACATAACCTGCTTTGAAAGGAGGGAAATAAAGGCTGATTTGTTCCATTGTAAAGGTAATGACTAATTTAATTGGAAATAGAGCATAAATGTATAGCAAAAAAATGAGTAGGGATGTATAAATTACATTTTATGTCAAGTCCAACTATTATAACCCCTGTTATGTTACTGCAATCATTCCCCAATAATAAAAAATAATAATAATAATAATAATAAAAAAATACCAAGCTTTTTTTGAATAAAAATAAATAAAAAATGTTTAAGAGACTGTTCAAGTATTAGATCCACATTAACCCACAATGCTTAGCTTGTGAAATGTTTTTGCTTGCTTTATTGTTAATGTTCTAGAAATAAGAAATAAAAAAAAAAATCTAATTTTCAAGACGTAGATTAATATGAGTAAAACTAAAAGGTGTTATTAAATACATAAGAATACTAAGAATAATACTTTTTAGTAATACAACAAAATGCTTTTGAAGTATTTAATTCACAAATCTCAAGTAAATGTTTCAAATGTGCTTAAGGATTTCTCCAATTTGCCATAGACTTTGCATTGCACAGGGAACTGCACAATTCTCTCATGTTGAATAACATGTATTTTATTCAGTTATATTTATTTTTGGTTTGTACATTGTATGTTGTTTTCAAAACCAGCACAACAATACTAATCTTAGGTTAATTTGCCCAGTAGTGGTGTGTGGCAAATCTGACATCTAGTGGCCACAATAAAAGTTGCATTCCAAAGGTTTTGGCTGCTATTCAACTGTTAAAAAGTATATGTATATATTATATTTAAAACACAGTGATTATTATTATTACAGCATATGCTTCAGAATATAGATTTTTATTTCTATTGATTATGATTTCTGCAGGTTAAGTTTAATGTGAGCGCTGTGTGTTTGTTTCATCAGTGCTTTGTGCAGTGGGTTTAGAGACTCAGAAACAGGGAGAGTTCAACAGCTTGGCCGTCTATCTCCTGTGAGTATCAAAATGAGCTGCTGTGGGAGGCGTAGCACTTTGTTATTCACTCTCAGACAAAGAAGGTACAAAAGCTGTCACTGGGGAAGTACATTTTCCAAAGGTATACCTATGTACCTAAAGGGTGCATATTAGTACCTTAAAGGTACATATTAGTACCTAAAGTGTATGTATTATCACCTAAATGGTATATAATAGCACCTGCAGAGGTATATATGTTAGTACCTTTTGAAAGTGTACCACGCCAATAACAACTTTTTTTACTCAAGAGTGTTCATATGAAAGTTCTCTGAGACATGCCTTCATGTCTGTTTTTTTTTTTATTATTATTAATTTTTTTTTCCTAATATAAAAATGTATTATAGTAATAGTGTTTATTAATATTTTGAATGAGTTTTTATTTTTATAGTTTCTGTTTTTTATTTTTATTTTAGGTACATGCTTAGAATTGTTTTGTCTGTTTTTGTAATTTGTATTATCTTTTTAAGTTATTTTAGTACTTTGACTTAAAATATACATTTCAAAAGTTTTTCAGTTTCAAAGCATTTATTCTAAGTAACAAAAATGTTTGTATGGCTTTAGTTTTAGTTAACAACAATGGTTCAGGCACTTTTACCTGAATTGTTAGAATCCACCTATTATGCACACACAGTATTGGTATCTTGGTCAATCTGACTTTGGCCAGAGTTATCACTGCTTTTGACGCCACTCATAGGGTGGTGTAAGCAACCGAACAGAATCATTCTAAGTTAGTTACACAAACAAACAGGCGACGGCTCATCACCTTTAGGAACATGGTCACTGAAGGCCACAGTCATTCCATTTCTAACTATAGCAGGCAATACAGTAGCGCCCTTGGGAATTACACACAGATGGAGGCAAATGGGCCTCTTGTCCCAGATTATCTGATGTTTCCGGGCTCAATGCCAAACCAGAGAGCTTCTGCATGAACAACGGGGAGATATTTCCACTGGGATTAAACATAAAGTGGCTGTTCACATGCACGAATACCAGAAGAGTCAGAGTCAGAGTAGCTTTATTGTCATTCCAGCTCTATACAGTTAGCATACAGTGAAACGAGACAGCGTTTCTCCAGGACCAAGGTGCTACATAGACAAAAACACAGAACACAGGACTACAAAGAAACTAAAGTGGACATAATTAAATTATATTAAATAGGCTAACTAAAAAGTTAAATATGAACTAAGAAGATTATTTAAAAAAAATTTTTTTTTTTTTAAAGAATACCATAAACAGCCAGGAAGTTTATGATCAAGTAACCGTTAAATGGTAATAAATGTCTAATAAAAAGCAGTGATTAAAGTCAACATTAGTACATGTTCACAGTCCATTTTACTTTATTGTGGCGTGAATTAGGATTTTAAATGAAGAAATTTGTAAGGTGGGACTTCATTTTATTCTCAGGAATTGATTAGACTGAAAAGTTGGAGTTACATTTAAATAATATATTCATAATAAAACCAAGAACATGTATTAATAAAGTAAACAGAACATTTTTATTTCGTTTTTACTTTAAAGTATGTTTTGGTATCTCTTATTGAACTATTTGTACTGTTTTTTTTTTTTTACTAACAAAAAGTTAGGTATTTTATAAACCACTGCTTTACTTCTGTTTGAATTCTCTACAGGCTGTCTTCGGTGGTGATCATGATTTTTGAAGTTGCCTATTTCATTGACACTCTGCTGGCAATGTGCCTTCCGTATGTTCAATCAAATTATAAAAGAACCATGTACTTGTGCTTGTTATGTCATAATCTGTGGTATTATTGCTATTTTAATCAATGCATTATAGTAATTCATATCTGTTTTTCTTGATTGGAGTTGTCCACCCACATGGAAGATTTTCATTCTTTGGAAGAAGATGGCCAATGTTGGGGGTTTTCAGAAGTTTCTGTACTACACAATGATGTCTTTGATGTGTTTCCTGCATCCGGTGCTTGTATGGCATGCTGTAATACCAGGTGCTTCACTTTTTACATAAATTATATATTTGAAAAGTAAATAAATACATAATACATTTAACAAAATGATAAGCATGATTGAAAAACAATTTGAATTGGTAAATATCTGCTTATTTCTGCCAGTGAATACACTAGAATATAGACAAACAAATCAATTCATTTGGACTTGGTGAGATCTATAAGAAGTATAATTTTTTTAAAAGATTTTGATTGGGAGTCATATAGTCTGTAAACCCCCCCCCAACCAAACATATTATGGACAGACATAACGGTTAACATGAATTTAGAAACTTTGCCTGTTTCTTTGCAGGAATTATGCTGGTAGTGACTGGATTCTTTAACTTCATACTGAGCAAAAAGAAGAAGTCAGAGCCGCCTAAAGATTCCAGGTCATCGTATAGAGACCCAGCTCTGTCTTCTGTCTGTGTCACAGAGAGGGAGTACACTGAACACACATTCTCTTTCTTCCACGTCATTTCAGGCAAAAGAGCATCTTTTTTTCCAAGCAATAGCCGACTGCATGGACCCACAGACAGGGCTCAGACAGTGAAGAATACCCAACGCAAGAACAGACAAACAGACACAAGAAATGTGCACTTCATTGAGAGTCTCAGACATAGTGATGCTGAAATGGAAGAATACCATGAAGTGGAACCAGTGGATACCACGTCAGATAAAGAACCAATGATTAGACCGTAAACATGAGAGATCATAGCGTTATAAATCATTTTAGGCATGAGGTGCTAGTTAAGACGTTACAAATACCTCTACTCAAAATCTGACCAATTATTCAAAGAATGAAAATGATTTTTCTTTATGTTCACTTATTCGTGTGATGGCAAAGCTGAATTTTTAGCAGTTATTACTCCAGTCTTCAGTCTTACATGATCCTTCAGAAATCATTATGGTGAATTTATTATTATCAATGTTGAAACATTGAAAATGTTGTTCTGTGCATTTTTGTGGAAACCATGATTTTTTTTTCTCACATGACTAATGGATAAAGTTTAAAAGAATAGCATTTATTTGAAATAAATATAATTTTTTAAACACTATAAAAGTCTTTAAGGGGCATTTTTAAGCCAAAGAAGATAAAGGAAGATTTGCTGTATGATGATTTACTGGGTTTATTTGCATCTGTCATTCTCGTTATTGGTGTAGAAAGCATTATTGCCTGACCCACTGATGCTCAGATTTTTCACTCCAGTTCTTTTGAACAGTGCCCATGTGTGACTCTCCATTAGCGAATGCCAGTAAAACACTGAAGCTATTTGATTAGACCCACAGCATAAGTGCAAATAATTTATTTACTGTGTGATTGGATATTTTTCCATGAAGTACACCAAGAACAACACATATGAATGCAGCATACTCAAGTATTCAGGATGTTGAAGTCATCCATATGCAGGTTAATGGAGAGGAATAATGCCTGGGGGTTGCGGTCCAGTCTTTACGCTGAAACCCCTCTTGTCTGGGTCAGTATGATGAATGGAATCTCTTCAATTGTATTGACGTATGGAGACTGGCTGCAGGAGATCCAGGCTTAAGGTTACAGACTGGAATAAAAAGCAACTCTTTGGCTGACAGTGTTTAAAGGTAGTTTCAGGAGCTCAATCTTGTAAAAAAAAGATGTTAAAGGCTGAGCATATATTAAAAAAATTATTCAGGTTGATTCAGTCCTACTACATTACACTTTAATAAAACCAGTTAATTTAGATGTCACTACACAAAGATTTTTTTTAGGTTACTCAATATTTTTACAATGTATTTGCTTTTGATCTGCTGCTGATTGTTTTACAATAGAGATGACTGCCATTTGGTGAAAACAAAACAAAAAATTATTTTTGTATATGCAATTTCTTTGTTCAGCAAGGATGCATTAAATTGACCAAAAGTGACATTAATAGCTCAAAATGATCTAATACAAAATGAAGACAGTGGGGAATACCCATAGGCCCCTTGTACTTGGATGATCTAAATGGCTATACCTTAGAATTCCCAAAAGATTAACTCTTATTTTGTTGTTTTAAATAGATGTTTTTGGGCCACTATTAAGATGATTAATGTTACCTTTAGTGAACATTACTGTTCAATGCTTTCCATTTGTCTCCACACAGATGAATAGCAGAAGTGCAGTTTAATGTGTACTACTGTGGGAAGTTAAGTTTATTCAGTGCATGGTGGAGAGTCATAATTTCCTGTCCATATTTAACATTAAAATATTATCTTTTCTAAATTTAAGCCAATTCAAATGATGTCGAAACAATGATATTTTAACACAAATCTGAGGTCATTCTACTTGCAGCTATAGCTAATCTCATCCAAAAATAAAAAACCTGTCACCATTTATTCCTATCATTACTCATGTTGTTCCTTTTTCTGAGGAACATAAAAGAAGATTTTTTTTTACAACAGAAGACAGTGGTCATCAAACTGTTTTGGTTAGGCTACCAAGCAAGCACTATTCTTCAATATATATGGGAAAGAGACTTGAAGACACAGACACTTGAAAGAGTCATAGGTTTAAATTCACTGTGAAGTTCACACTGAAATATTTTGAGTATTTAAATAAGGTTTACAGTGTATTCACTTAGTTTCTAAATTCATAAAAAGTTCCCTTATTTGGCAAGTGCCGTTGATATAATCATTTCCCTTCAAAAACAAATCTGTCTTCCCATGAGGCAGCTCTAAGCATCTACTTCCTCAAATATTTTATCCGACATTTCGGTGTCATATTTTCCTAGATGGTATTTTTTACAACAGAAGACAGTGGTCATCAAACTGTTTTGGTTAGGCTACCAAGCAAGCACTATTCTTCAATATATATGGGAAAGAGACTTGAAGACACAGACACTTGAAAGAGTCATAGGTTTAAATTCACTGTGAAGTTCACACTGAAATATTTTGAGTATTTAAATAAGGTTTACAGTGTATTCACTTAGTTTCTAAATTCATAAAAAGTTCCCTTATTTGGCAAGTGCCGTTGATATAATCATTTCCCTTTAAAAACAAATCTGTCTTCCCATGAGGCAGCTCTAAGCATCTACTTCCTCAAATATTTTATCCGACATTTCGGTGTCATATTTTCCTAGATGGTATACTCAGACTGAGCTAGAAACAGGAAGCTCATGTGCCCCAGTTGTCAGACTGAAAGAAACTATCTAGCGTTGCATTTGTATGCGTGCTTAACTGTTAATCCTTACACATTTTATTTTAATCGAAGCTTTCAAAATTATTAAAATCCTACAGTTTTATGATGTTGTAATATGACAGGTGGACCGAATGCAATTTAACGGCAACCTTTCATCTGCAGCTTAATTGTCTCGTGGTGGTTATCGCAAGAACAGTGATAATTATCTCACAGACATGCTAATAATGGTGTGAACGGTCCCGGCGTTTCCCAGGGCAACCGCAGAAGACTCCCGCCCACGGACGTCTCTGATTGGCTCCTGTACTTATCGGAGTGTCGGATTGGTTTACACAGCTGCCATTCTTCTCAACGAGTAGCGTTATTTTGACCGTCTATTCCCCGAGGAAGCAGCAGGGTGAAGTGGAAGATAAGCCGTTGTGTCTTACAAAACAGCTGGGCTTCGTCGGCTCTTACAAAGGAACGGCGTTTCATGAGATGGTAAGGACAATATATGCAAGGAAACAGAAAAGATATGTTCTCTAGACAAGAGTGCGTGAATGGATATGGTTGGATATTTGAGATGTTTTTTTCTACTAATTAATTCTGCAGGTGAACTGTAGCCTATGTGCCGCTGTCTTCTTTTGAAGGCTACCTTGACTTCTTCTGAAGCTGTTCTCAGGTGCGTGTCTTTGTACAGCTGTCAAAACAAACTGTAGGCCTACTTGAGTGAACCATCTGACAGGCTACATATTTACCAGATGTGTCAAACAGTTTGTGATATTTTCTGTATGTTTCCTTTTCATAATGAAAGCAAATCAAAAATAGTCTTTAATTTGAAACTTATGTGTTTTGCCGGTGTCTTTCAAATCCGTCCAACTTCTCCAAAATAGTGACAGAAATCCAGAAGTGGTTAAGGACTCTATATCTATACTCCTGATATATTCCTGCAGCAGAGAGTCGCAGCTGGTTTGCAGTAATTGACTGGGTGGTGGGCAGGGGGCTTCACAGTGTCATTTCTTTATGCAGGTGGAGAGCATCTCTAGACATGACCCCTAGTTTTTAAATCAGTCTAATGCACAAGTGGGATTCTTTCTAGTGGACACAGTAGATTGTGTTGTTGTTTTTTCTCGAAAGGCTTTTCTTGCCATGAGACTAAAGTGGCATATTTAATCATTAATGAGAATGGCCATAGACAGAGGTGGGGTTAGTTCATAGAATATTCAAATTCTTTTCCTTCACTGAATAGAAGGCTTTTGTTGATTCTTTTTAGGTGAATACAGGTAAATTGGGACACTTTCAGATCATTTGTGTAAATTGTATTTTTAAAATTAAATGTCAAATGGCTTTATTTCAAATATGGACATAAAATAGACAGAACTGCACAAAGACCATGCAAAAACTTTTACAAGGTTTTATTAGAAAAAAAACGGTACAAAATATATACAAATCCCATCTACATAATACATATATCATTTATCTGTGCAAATAAAAAGCAGGCAGGATAAATGTCAAAGACACATAGGGCCCTGTCATACACCTGGCGCAATGCGGCGCCAGGCGCGACGCAAGAGTTTTTCTGCTAGTTTCAGCCCGACGCAGTTGTCATTTTCACGTCTTGCGCCACGTTGTTTAAATAGCAAATGCATTTGCACTCATTCGTGAGCTCATATGTGTGCTGGTCTGAAAACGAGGTGTGTTCAGACACATTGCTGGCGCGTTGCTATTTTGAGGCAACTGAAATAGACTGCGCCATTGACCAACAAAAAACTGGTCTAAAGTCTGGCGCAATATTTATATTTATTTTTTTGTTATTTAAAGAGCGTGTTAGCAATATGCGCCTATAGGCGGGTGAACAACGTGCGTACGCGTTGCTTATTACACACACAGGGATGCGCAGCAGCACACAAACATTTTTAAAAATGAAAAATTAAAGCATTAAAATGTAAAAGATTATTATTGTGTACATAAATATAAAAATGCCTGCATGTCATAATGGTGTTAGCAATATGCGCCTATAGGCGGGTGAACAACGTGCGTACACGTTGCTTATTACACACACAGGGATGCGCAGCAGCACAAACATTTTTTTAAATGAAAAATTAAAGCATTAAAATGTAAAAGATTATTATTGTGTACATAAATATAAAAATGCCTACATGTCATAATGGATAGTCTTTGCATGTATCAGAATTACGCACACAAACAGATCCGTTCCCTCACTAAAGAAGCGTTCAGTTTTTCCGCTTGCTAATTCCGCCATGTAAATAGCGAATCCACCATTGCGCGAGCGCAACTGGCTTTTAAAGGGAATGGGAGATGAAACTCTGATTGGTTTGTGGCACTTTACGCCCAAAACACACACATTACTTATTGAGAGAATAGGGACAACCCTTTTAGACCATGCATGGGGCGCGCCGACCATTTTTCCCGTCCTTAAACAAAAGTGGATTACCACCACCTATCTCTCAAGTGGACCTGCTGTTGAGAACGCGCTCAGGACAGTTGGAAGAGTTCGGACATTGCGTGAATCAGAGGTAAAAATAATATGTAAATACTGTTCATTTTCTTGCACAGACCGATCGTTTTGTGTCTTTACACATCAATGTATCGTCACGAGCCGCAGCGTTTAATTTGTTTTTTTTGGTGTGTGTTTTTTTTTTGTTTTATTGCATGTTTTAGCCGTGATTCCCATTCACCTCCATTATAAGACTGACAGACTGCAACGGTTTGTGTTAAAAATCTTCGTTTGTGTTCTACTGAAGAAACAAAGTCACCTACATCTTGGATACCCTGGGGGTAAGCAGATAAACATCAAATTTTCATTTTTGGGTGAACTATCCCTTTAAGTGCAGTTGCGCCGTGCACTTTAGACCATGCGCTTGGATCGTTAAAATAGGGCCCATAGTCTTTCTATACAGAAAAGGTAGAGACTGTTGAATTACAGCCTCTTGGGCTTTTTTGGTCTATTCTTCTTCTTGAGCTGCAGACAGACCTTCCTCCTCTGTGTGTTGAATTTAATCCTGGACAATAGAACAGTGAAGGGGTTTAATTATTGGGGAGGCCCGCAAAGCTGAGCAAGCAAAAACACATTCTCAACCCTAAATCAATGCACACCATTAATGGCAACGTAAACACTTAAAATTCTCTAGAGACCATATTTATCTTGTCTCAAACATCCCTGAAAGCATCAGCAACTGTATACAATGTGTAAAACGCTAGGCTTCAAGTGCTGCATATAACCAGTATTTTTATTTTTTGTCAATATTTTTTTATGTATTTGATTGTCAATATTGTTAATGTATTAATATGCAGTTGTAGCTTTTGTAGCTATGGTATGCAGAGAGGGGAGCTAGTGAATCTTTAGAATGAGTATATGTGCCACAGAGTGGCAGTGTTTTCACTTTATTCAAATTAAAAACCCATATGAGGTTTGAAATCAGTGTACTTCTTAATTGAAACTGTTTTTTAAAAATGAGTGTATTAATTTTATAATCAAATCGTTTACAGTGTCATTAGAGGGAAACATGTTGTTGACGTACTTTTTCCAGCATTTTTGCAGTTTTTCCCCCTGCTTGGAGTCTGGATTTAGACAAGCTTGTTTACCTGGCAGCTGGAGTCTGTGGAGGAGAACAGCGTGTTTTAAATGTGTGCAAACCACTGCAAGCAATAAGATACAGCAACATTTGATCAAGGGTGGCATTTACTCATGCCACCCTTCCAAACAAACTTCATTTGAAGTCTTATATTGATCATACCGAAAATGTATTTAATCTTTGCATCGCTTTATTAATGCTTAGACTATTGTAAAAGTGTTTTTACTAAAACAAACTTAAACCAGGTAAAGTGAGACATTTTAGTTTTGCATTTCATATTTCTTCCTTTTCCTATTTCCAATCCCGCTGCATCTGCATTCACTAGATTTTGCTGTAAGAGAGCTCATATTTTCAGAGTTCAGTGGTATTATTTGTTTTATCATGCCCACTCATGCCTAATTTCAAATGAAACTAATCAGATGCAAAAATCATCTTGCCATGGCCTGGCTTTGTGCTTCCCACCAGATAAATGATCCCAACTCGCAACATGTCTCAACATGAGATATTGTGTAATATCCTCACACATTGTTAACAATTACATGGATTGCAAAATGTCCAGGAGGGATATAATTGCATGTTAATTATTACAGACTTATAGTTACAGTAAAGTAGTGAATTTATTAGAATAGTACTAGATTTGAGGCAGGGGCATCATGCACATTAAGAGGTCACATTAACTTACTTAATATGTTTGCTTTTTTTTAAAGATGGTAAAACTATAATTGCATCTTGCCATGACAGGCAGTAGTCACCAAGCATTTTCAGAAATGCAAAAGAGTTACATTGACATAAAAATAACTTTCGTGTTCCACATGAAAAAAAAAACGTCATGCGAGTTATGAGTGACATGAGGGCAATAGATGAAGACAGAATTTCAGTTTGAAGCAGATGATCTGTGGAAGGAGACTCGATCGGAATTGCCAAATTTATACATGATTTTCGCAAAAGTGTTTTAGACAAACACTTTTTATGACAATTTATCAAAGGTAATTTTTTTCCAGAAGCTGCACTTAATATCCACTTGTCTCATAAATCTTATGTAGCACAACACATTCAGATACCCCTGAATGGGAATTATGCTTTTTTACTCACATGATTTGAACCTTGTTGCAAAGAGGTTCTTTCTGTCTGATCGTGTAGTCTGTAACTTTTCTCCATTGCACTGAGCCAGTTTCCTCAACACACTCACATTTTTCACGATGGGACATTGCAGTGGTCCCGTTATCTAAAAATAAAGCCAGAAACATAAAACCATGTGTAAACCCACATCACCTCCATGACCGATATCTGACAAAAATCTGTAAACTGTCCTGATAAGTATTTAAATATGCTACTGTACCTGTGATGAAGTGTAAACAGATTGAGATTAGGAGAAGCAGGCAGACATTTGATTGCAGAGTCCTGAAAGCCATTTCTCTAAAGCTGTGTCATTCACAAGAATGTCTCTCGAGTGTGTTTGCACAGAACGGTACTCTTGTTCTTCCTCACTTTCCCTCCTTAAAGTATTTCCTGTTTTGCCATATTAAGCAGGATCAGAGTCACATGATTTCAGGTAAATGAGAGGTGATTGCTCAACCACCTTGTGTATGTTGGTTTTGGGTCTGGAATGCTATTGTTCTGTCAGTGGTTATATGGGTCAGAAAGTTTTTACTTGATCATGTGCTTTTCTGTATCCATTTAGAATTAATTGTTCAAACTGAAGGGTTCCCACACATTGAAACAGTGAATATACAAAAAATTCCAAATCAGAATAACCATGTGCTTCATGTGGTCTATTCTATTCTGTTCTGTTCTGTTCTATTATATTATTTTAAATGACTAAATCTGACTGCATTAGGTTATACCAAGTAATATTTAAATGTTTAATAGTTCCTTTGCAAATGCATTGCACTTTTAACAGTATAGAATTTCCAAAAATATAACTTCTCCAGGCCTGGATCCTTGTGAAAACCCTGACATTAAGTTAAACCATCAGCATTGTACTTTGTTTGCATTTGGGTATATTTTGGTATGTATATATTTTTTTACATTTATATAGATTTCTATGTATCGAATGTCTGTAACATGATTTGACATCCAACTGTTAAATTTAAGACAAGAAATGTAAGAATTGTATAGCAGAATTTAGTCCTATGTAAACAAACATGAGAACACAAGAAAGTAGAGAAACACACTGAAGTTCTCTTTTTTTTAGTTAGTTCATGTTTATTATATTAGTTTATATTAAACTGTAAAAAAAAAAATCATTTTCTGTGATCACTGAGCAAACACACATTTAAATAGAATATATACATTTATTAGAACAATAAGAATATATAAATATATACGAATTTATAAGAACATAAAGCTGTGTCTTCTGACTGGCCGGTACGTTAGACCTGCATAGCAGGGCTCATACTCATCCCTGTATAACATGTCAAGATTAGATGCTGTCCTTGTTGTAACATGTCCCTTGGCCTCCATACACATGTGCACTCCTCTGAATTCAGCCTTTTCTTATGTCCTTGGCTTGTTTAGTGCATATGAAATGTACAGCAGCGCTAAAGCACTTTGCACAAGCTTTGAAGCGTATTCTCTCCTGTGGATCTCTTACGTTCTTTGCCTCAGTGTCTTTAGTATTTGAGGTTAAGACTTGACCTTCCTGGATTTAACCTGCTTCCTGTTTCTTCGCCTTGGCTTTTGCTTTTGTCGGCGTATGCATTTTTTGCTGTCCTTGCCATCCTTTTGCATGCTGAAAAAAAACCCCCAGTAGAATCAAGCTCAGCAGATTAAGACTTGCAGACCACCATCATGTTTTGAGATGTTTGGAGTGAGTGATTTTTGGATACGCTGTGCTGTAGTTTAGAGACTCGTTCAGCAATAACACTCTCTTACCTTTGCCAACATTTCAGCAGTCTTTTGCCTTGGGGACCATCTGGACTGAGACACACAAGACTATTATTCTTCTGCCGTGTGACTCTAATGAAAAATACAGAGAATAATAGCATATGTAAACCCAATTCTGCACGTACATTTAGAATCTTATGAAGTAAAATGTATGTGAACTACTTACATGATCTCATCCTGTAAACAGTTAGGTCCTTTTAGAGTGACTTTGAAATCTGAAAATAGTCCCTTGACTCTTTGTTTGACCTGTGGACACTGACAGGTCTTTGGAACATATTGGCTCTCCACGACTTGGACTGTATTTAGGAAAATAGAAAAAGTGAAATTATTAAACAGCCATGATGTATCAATCAAAAGTCAGTAAGATTTTTGTACTTTTTAAAAGAAATTAATAATTTTATTTAGCAATGCATTTAAATGATCAAAAGTGACAGTAAATGCTTTTGACACAAAATATTTATATTTAAAATGCTGTTCTTTGTAATCTTTCTATTCATCAAAGAATCCTAAAAAAGTATCACAAAAAACCCCCAAAACAAATCAGCATATTAGAATGATTTCTGGAGAAATGAAAATTCAGATTTGCATCACAGGAATAAATGGCATTAAAAAAGTAATTTTTAAATTGTAAAATATTTAACAATATTACTGTTTTACTGTATTTTGATCAAATATATTAAGCCTGGGTGAGCATAAAAGACTTCAAAAGCATTAAAAATGTTTCGAACGATAGTATATAATTAAAATATCTAAATTATTATTCTAATTAAAGTAATTTATAGTTAAACTTGTACAGCTAGTTTTGCAGAGATTTTGCCAACTCAGTTATAACCCGACAGGTGCTCAGTTATTGTTTTAGTTCAGTTACTGTAGTTCATCTGTTCTGATACACTCACCTGTTAGAAGGATGCTGAGGGTGAAAGCCAGCAAAGCATACACTGTCATCGTCATGATGAAAGTGTTTCTGAGTGTAAGTGCTTAGTGGCTTGCTGTCGTTTTATACTCCTATGATGGACTTCCCAGCTCTTGCGCCACTTCTGGAAATTCCAGTGCTTTGTCGCTACTCCCACGGGATCAAGCCATTTGAACACAGATAATAGAGAGGCATTTACAAAAGCCCACTACTGCAGGAATCTTTAAAAACTTGGTCACATATAGATTATGCAGGCTATGAGCAATTCCTTATTCACATTTGACACAAAAATGTAAATCCTGTCATGATTTCCTCACCCTCATGTCATCTCAAACCTGTATGCTGTTATTTTTCATTGTGGAAAGACTTCTCAATCCATATTGTAGTTTAATATATGGAACAGATTCCTAAAATGGAATCTCATTTGCATCTGTGCCAGATTCAAAAGTGCAAAGTCAACGTCTCAAACCAGCCACTAACTCTCACGTGACAAATCATGAAGGGGCAGTTTTGAATACTGATATAGAGAAAGAGATTTGAGAGATGCAAAAAATTAATTATAATTATATACAGTATGGTGTGAAAAAATTAATTACGATTATATTTATAATGATTAAATTAATAATTAATTAAAGTCATACGGGCTAGTTTTATGATGCTTTTTTCTCTTTTGGAGCTTGTCAGATGCATTTACTATGATTTGTATTAATCAGGAAAACAGCTGTGTGAAGAATTTTCAAAACTTTTCCACTGAAGAATGTATTACTGTTCTGTGACCTCTCAGAAGGTCTGAAAACATGCCATGGCAAGCCTTATGGTAATATTACACATTCTGTTAACTGTAGGACCATGTGGTTTCCTCATATTCCTGTGATTACTTTCACTTGGTCCTCCTGCACAAGATTCATGGTGACATAAATGGTTCATTTGGATTATGAGTATTTTTGAAATCACATAACACAAGGTATTATTCACTGTTAATCACTCACTTGTTCTTGTTCTTGACATTATTAACTTTGTCTCTTTCTCCTTGCTTTCTCTCCCATTGTCTTGCTTATCTCTAGCTGAAAGCCTTTCTATTGAGGAACCCCACTATGGATCCTGACAAGACCTCTTATGTGAGGCTGAATGAGGAGAAAGTAATTGCAAAGTAAGATTTTCACTTTTGATACACACTGAACATTAGAAACATGCCTTCTAACTAAAAGCCCTTGTCGTTAAATCATGTCCCTTTTTCAGGTCTGATATTTTGTCCCTTCTAAAAACGTACAACTGTTATCACGAGGGAAAAAGCTTCCAGCTTCGGATTCGTGAGGTATGTTACATCACTGGAAGTGAAACTAACTGCAGACCTAAATCAAATCTTTTGTTTCCTGGTTAGTGATTAATAGATCTAATCTGACCAAGAGTTGAGTCAGAGTGTGTGAGACAGCAAAACAAAAAGATTATTGTCTCAGAATATGGATGTGGGACATTGGAGTAAATCCAAGTGTGGCATTCCTAAAAATGCTGGTTAAATGGGCCTAGATGACATGTGATTGGCTGCATCTTTAAGCATAACATTATTATGTTTATATTATAATAATAATATGACCCTGGGCCACAAAACCAGTCAAAAGGGTTATTTTTAAAAAATTGGAGATAGGAGATTTATACATCAAACATCAAACCTGAAAGCTGAATAAATAAGCTTTCCACTGATGTACAGTATGGTTTGTTAGTATAGGACAATATTTGGCCGAGATACAACTATTTGAAAATCTGGAATCTGATGGTGCAAAAAAAATCTAAATATTGATAAAATAGCCTTTAAAGTTGTCCAAATTACATCCTTAGCAATGCATATTACTAATCAAAAATCAGGTTTTGATATATTTACGGTAGGAAATTTACAAAATATCTTCATGGAACTTCTTACTTAATATCCTAATGATTTTTGGCATTAAAATCAATAATTTTGACCCATACAATGTATTGTTGGCTATTGCTACAAATATACCCGTGTGACTTAAGACTGGTTTTGTGGTCCAGGGTCACATATGGCTTTAAAAAATATGTGGCTTTATGTAACTATTGGTGAATGATACCAAAAAAAACTTATTGTGATTATATTTATGAGCAGAGCTGGGTAGATTACTAACAGATTGTAATCTGTTACTGATTCCAAATTACATGACAAAAATTGTAGTTAGTTACATAATCCATTAAATTACACATTTTAATAGTAATATAATCAGACTACTTTTAGATTACTTTGTTTACTTTTGACCTAACTTGTTTATGTAAATAAGAAATCATGTGAATTTGTGCATTTTAATGTGTTTGAAAGACAAAAGCCTTCCAAAGACAAAGTAATACATGATTAAATAACCATAGTTCATCCATAGTTGATGTAATGTTGAAATGCTAAGAAAACGTTTCTTAAAACTGAAATTATTTCTTTAAATCCAGTGGTTATATGCTGTCTGGCTTCTCAATTTTCTGTGTAATTACAGCCACCGACTAGTGACTGATCTTTGTGTGAATGTCCGCAGAAGACTAGAAGACTTTCTTGACTGTAGGTAGTGGTATAGGCTATTTTAGAAAGTACAATTTAAAAGATGAAAAAGAAGAATTAGGGAGAATCAACCAATTATGAATAATTTATTGCTATTAAGTGAATAATATGTAATCATGTAATCAACAAAAAGTAACTAGTCTGATTCCAAGTATTTTAAAATGTAATTTCATCTAATTATAAGTACCTAATTTTTGGAATCCAGATTTATGAATCATTATTTCTGAGTGAAATCACAGATACATGTACATGCACAGCTAGTGAAGTCTATTTATCCGTTTTCACACTAAAGGCCATTGCAAGGTCACGGGGAGAGATGTAATTATTTACTAAACGATCTACAAATTATTTACAATCTGTTTCTGTCAGTAACAATGACCTAGAGTACAAACAAGCTCCTAATTATTTCAAATTTTATCTCGACAAAATTATTTACTAAACTATCTACAAATTATTTACAATCTGTTTCTGTCAGTGAACATGACCGGGAGTACAAACAAGCTCCTAATTATTTTCAATTTTATCTCGACAAGTAACTTAACAAGTGTTTTTAATAGAAGGTTTGTGTTTGTGCTCACATTGTTATGATCTTTTGGATCTGTTACAGTCTCTGGGAAATCCCAGCAGGCTGCTTGTGCTTTTAGAACGAGTTTGGTCAAATTTAATCTCAGTATGATACTGAAAGTAAAGAGATTTTCCACTGTTCAGACACACATAGTGACTAAAATAACTGTTTTTAAAATAACTGTCATTGTGTGTGACTATGCATAATATATTACACTTTTTGCAACTAAATGCCATAAATGGAACAGGAAGTGCTTTATCCATAAATATGCCACATTTGTACATAATACAGACTGAAAGGCCATCAAACTGGGTGCTTTTATTTAGGTGTGTTTTACAGTATGTGCCTCTCTGGTTGTCTTATTTTTCGCGTGTCTCTGTATGAGTGAATGGTTTACTTTAAAATCTTATGTGACTGAATGAGTTCATGCTCGAATATTTCTACAGCTTACTGTTACACATATTTTGTATTTTTTTATTATTATTAAAATGTACTGTTGAATCAGAATAATTTACATTTGGCAAAGTTCTAGGATCTAAATGTTGAAATGCCTGTGATGACAATCCTGTTTAGGTTTTTTTTTTTCAAGATTATCACATGAGACTGAGTCACAGATATTGTGAGGATAAACAGATCACGTGATAATATCTGTATGGAGAAAGAAAGAAAGAGAGAGAAAGGGGTGAGGGGAGGGGCAGATAAGTACAGATTGATGAAAGACACATTAAGATAAAGACTGAAAGGTCCAGCGGAAAGTGAAAGTGCTGAAAGTAAATGAGTAACTGTGATAGATTGCAGGAGCCTAGTAAAGTAAGTAAGTATTGATGTAGCAAGGTTTGTCATGCTCTGGGTTCCCTGATGATAGTGTACTTCTTATAAACCAGCTACTTTCTGTGTAGAAGCCCTGGCACTGTTACACCTGTGTCAATTTATGTGACAACAGGCCTACAAAGGTAAGACCTGATAAAAAGTGACTATATCTTCAGAGAATATTGCTTTATACAAGATCAGCACAGGTTTTTGAAGACCTCCACTTAAAATCAACTTTAAAAGTTGAGGAGATTGTCTAAGATATTCAGGTTCTATTTTATTTAATTAATAAGACAAAATAAACCTTTTTTTTTAGCATGTTGTTGTGAGAAGACCTACTTGAACCTGGGAACAATTAATTACTTCTGGTAAGTTCTGTGTATTATGATAAAATACAACGAGTAAAATGAAGATGATTTACCATTGTCAGATTTATGTTTGAGGACTTTTAAAAACATGATACTTTTCCCTTCTCAATTTCCTTTCACGTAACTTGAAGATTTTTTACTTGGTCCACGGATAGCCGAGTAATTGCCATTAAAGTAAATTTGTCTAGTTTAACCAGCCTAAACAACTGTTTATAAACGGCTCCATCTAAAAGTTATTGTAAGAAAACACTCCAGTGCAAGATCACATTTTGGTCATATTGCTTTTTTGGTGTTGTTTAGACTTTAGTTTTGGGAGATGAGAGATTAGTCTCAGATTCTGCAGAACGCAGCAACCACCCACAATCTATTCGCTGAGCTTATTGTACATGTTGTGTGCAAAAATGCGTCTTTACACAACTTACAGAAGTCGAGGTGCACCAATTCTGGAAACATGCTTACACAAGTCTATGCACTTAAGGAAAAATCAATCACTGGAACTGACATTTCGCCAGGTTGGTGCGTCACATCTTTGAAAGATTATTGTCTGAGTAACAAGCAGATCTGTAAGCGAAAGAATGAAAATTACACTTTTGTAAGCAATTTCTGTGAAATAACCTGTATTTAGGCTACTACATCCCTACTGAAAAAACCAACAAAAAACATCTAAAACCAGCCTAAGATAGTTGGCTGGTGTTAGCTGGTCATCCAGCCTGGTTATAGCTGGTCAGCAGGCTGGTTTTAGTGGGGTCTTGACCACTTCTTTAGCTGGCCAGGCTGGGAGACCAGATAAAACCAGCTACTTCAAGCTTAAACCAGCTGTTTTTTAAAGCTTTTTTTCAGCAGGGTTATAAACAGACAGAAACTCATGTCTACACATATTTTCGACTGTTTTTACTTTCCGTTATGTACAGACTTGCTGTGTAATTATTTTAATAATCAATATATCTGTTGATGAGTTTTTCATGTTGGTATTATTGTGACAGTACTGGGTGGAAAACACTAGAAGCCACTAAAATGAAACAAACATCTACTATTCTGCATTACGTGTTGTAACATTTTTATGATTCATGGTGAGACTACAAAAGAAAACACTTTTCTTACCAACATGTTTCCTCCTTGTCCTCAGGCAGCAGGTCAGAATCAGAGCGTTCATTGAGCGCCCTCTGTTGGTTTAGACAATGCTGTAAACTTGCATGCAGCCAACAGAGGTCGCCCTTAGCTTTGGAACTGAACTTAAAAAGATAGTTCACCAAAAAAAGATTTTGTGATAATTTACTTTCTCTCATGTTGTTCCAAACCTGTACGAAATTCTTTCTTGTGCTGAACACAAAATACGATATTTTGAATAATGTCACTGAGTAAATGATGACAGAATTTAGTTTTTTGTGACTCTCCCTTTAAAGGGGTCATATGATGTTGCTAAAAAGAACATTATTTTGTGTATTTGGTGTAATGAAATGTGTTTATGTGGCTTAAGGTTCAAAAAACACATTATTTTCCACATACTGTACATTATTGTTTCTCCTCTATGCCCCGCCTTTCTGAAACGCATTGATTTTTACAAAGCTCATCGGTCTGAAAAGCGAGGTGTGCTCTGATTGGCCAGTTATCCAGTGCGTTGTGATTGGCCGAATACCTCAAGCGTGTGATGGAAATGTTACGTCCTTTACCATATTGTGATGACGTGTCCAGGCCGGAGCAACGAGACAAAAACATTAAAGCCCATTATAAACAAGGCATTTGTTGCATCCAGTGGGGACATAATTACGGATTATAATGATTTATACTGTCTTTAAGTGCTACTATACACTGCTCAAAACTCACGTTTGAATCGTCAGTGGCAAATCCTTTAAATATGAAAAACGTACTTACAGTCTGTGAGTCAGAAGAGCTGGCATTGTAGCCTACTCTACCAGGAAACAGTCCTCCATAAAATGACCACTTAACCACTGATTTCTAGTTGTGTCCTCTTTTGGAAGGCCAAACAAAGTAGTTTTGCTTTCACAACGAAACACACAGCGTCACACACGGCGGGCTAGAGTGAGCAGTGGCCGGCGGGCTTGAGAACATCGCGGCCGGCGGGTTTGCGATAACCACACGTGACGACCCCGGGCTGGACTCCGCTTCGTCCACGGTGAAAGCTGATCCGGCGATCCACAGCGCGAAGTTGATGTATTTCCTCAGCGACCAGCATGGATCAGCTCCAGGCATGACGAAGCGGATATCGTCCTCTTTTGGAAGGCCAAACAAAGTAGTTTCGCTTTCACAACGAAACGCACGGCAGCAACAATACTACAACGAGAATAAAAGTTACGCATTCTTTCTTTGCGTGAACATTTGGGCGGTGTTATGCAAATCTTCCCACATCGTGACAGAGACATGTGGGGGCATGTTAGAATGAGCCGTTTTAGGTAGGCAAGGTTGACTCTTAACTTTTATAAAGAATATCTCTTTGGATTTGAGACTTTAGTCTTTGCAACTTTACAGATCTTCTTTATGCACCAAGAGCTTGTAACACTCCAAAGAGAAAGGAAAACTTGAAATCGTATGACCCCTTTAAAGGGGTACTATTATGCTTTTTCACTTTTTCAACTTTAGTTAGTCTGTAATGTTGCTGTTTGAGCATAAAAAAGATCTGCAAAGTTACAAAGCTCAAAGTCCAATTCAAAAGGAGATATTTTATTTAACAGAAATCACTTTTCAAAAACTACAACGAATGACTCGTTTGGACTACAACGCATATTTTCCGGGATTTGTGATATCACAAATATCGATGAATGGGATGAGACCTGGTTGAGCTGCACTAGAGAAGGCAACGAGTGTTATCACTATGTCGGAGACACGCTAGTTTCCCCAAGGCAGACGAACTTAGAGTGGTTACAATCATCCGGGTTTAAATTGATTTAATTTTGATGCAATATTTACACTGAAGCTTGCAGGCGGCTATTGTAAGGGGCATGACATTTCCCGACCAGGTGCCGAGTGGTGCCAATCACAAAACACACTGGCCCAGCTAACCAATCACAGCACATTTCGTATTTCAGAAGGCGGGCCTTCATTTGATACAGGAACTATTCGAGCCGTTCATGCCAGACTGGGGAGAGAGGTGTTGTAATAATGTAAAATTTGTGAAAAATAATGTGTTTTTCGAACAACCTAGTATGAGAGCCTGTTCTAGTACACCCCCAAAACAAAATCAAGACTTTGAAAAAGAGCATAATAGGACTCCTTTAAAGGTGGGGTAAGCGATTTCTGGTAGCCAACGTTGACATTTGAAATCACCAAAACAAACACGCCCCTACCCCAAACGGGTCTCGCCCCTATTTTGATAGCGCCGCCCCACACATACTGTACGTACGCAACCCTGGCAACGATTAGTTCTGTGAAACAAAGCAAAACCAATGTTACACCGTGTCTACACCGGACGTGAGTGGCGCAGCGCGACAAAATACTATGGAACTCATTATAATCAGTGATGCTGTCTACACCATAGATATATATACATATCTATGGTCTACACTGGATGTGGCGCGGCATGACACGATAAATCCCCGACAGAAAACTGCTGCTGTGTTCTATTCATGACACACATTTCAAATGATTTTCAACGGTTGCTTCAGACACGGTGTTACTCACCTATCGAGAAGAAACAAAGCAACCTCGGCGTCCGATCGCAGGCTTTCCGCTCCTTGAGTTCTCTCCAGCGCTGGAAAGCTGATCCGATATTTACACGGGTCCTACTTCTTCAAGTAGATATAACTGCAGACCGGAGATCGCCAAAATGGGGCGTGAACTCCAAAAGTGGGCAGAACCTCCAAAATGGGGCGGAACAGGAATCACCCATGAGCTCTCCCGCGAGCCGTCCCAGCGCAGCGCAGGAGAAAGATTTTACTCTATCGCTTTGTTCTAAGCAGCGGGGGCGACCCGGGGCTCGAAATTCGCAGGGAAGGAGTGGGTAGTGACGCTGGGTGTAACTAAAAAGGTGCTATTGTCCCGGTGAGGTCCGGTTGGGGAGTTACGGAACGATCTCATATCGCATAATTTTATTAACTGTTTATCTCCTGAACTGGATCTTTCTTTACCACGCTATTCAGCGCCAATCCCACAGTGCAGTCAATTTCACTGGTTAAGGTTAGGGTCAGGTGTGGGGTAGGTTTTGGGGTTAGCATTGTTTGTAGCATAGTGTAGGAAATTAACACTTTAATTGACACAACCAATAAAGTCTTTAGAATCAGCTGTGGGGCGGAGTTTGCACTGAAGTGGATTGAAGGAAAAAGTGCGCATGCGTGTCATGTGCCTGTCTGCCAATGGGAAGAAGCCACGCCCTATTTTGGAGCTCTCACCCTGTTTTGGAGTTCCCGCCCCCATTTGGAGATCTCCAGGCTGCAGTTATACCCTTCTCTACTTCTTGCCTTATTGCCTTAAGCCTTCTTTTGTTCCGCAGATGTTTTCCTCTTTAGTTTTTTATCCGCCATCTCTATCTTTCTGTAGCTCGGCTCGCTAATGTCTGTCCTGTGCACTGAACGCTCTCTCCTCCACATCATGAGTAGACACGCCCCTTACTGCTGATTGGCTACAAGTTTGTTTTGCTAGTCTGCCCGAATCAGTTTTCTAAAGCATTTTTTAAAAATCGCTTACCCCACCTTTAAGCTTATGTCTCACAAATATGTCATCTCTTGAATTGGGGACCTGATATGACAGTATGTGTTTCTAACCACAAAGAAAAGTTATTGTTGTAATTTAGCCCTTGGCCTTGTTTTATTTGCATAAATTGTTTAAGGGATAATATGGTGGGAAGCTGTTCCTGATCTGTGAAAATGAAAGTGTGCAGAAATCTTTATGTCCGTGATAACTAGAACTGCCATAACATATTTAGAAGCTGATGGTAATATTGTTATTCATGTTGCAATTTTTTTGTCTTTTTCTCCCCTAGTCTTACCATCATACGTGCTTAATGCACATCTAGATGATGTGATGTATATTCATACACACATGACTGACTATAATTAAATCATCAGCATTACTTTATCAGGTTAAAACAAACATACTCACACACTCATACAGATAGATAGATAGATAGATAGATAGACAGATAGTAAAGGACATATGAAAACAAGTCAAAATACATTCTTAAATTTTATTTAAAAAACATAACATAGAAAACCATGTCTTTAACAGCGTGTAAACATTAGCATCTTTGTACAAAAAGTCTGTTCAGACAATAAATTAAGAAGTTCAGTTCATGAGATCCTCTGAGTTCATCCATCACTCGTTCAGTGTTATCCTCTCATCAATATGACGTTATGCTTTGGCTCATTAGAGTAACCACAAAGCAGCAGGTGCACTGACAGTCCTGCGCAAATCCTCTCTGTGTGACTGTTAATGCGTCTGCGCAAACAACCAGTCCAGGGGGTCTTTAGAGCCCCGGTCCATCTGACTGTTGAACCTCAGCGTGACCTCGTCCAGACCTAGGGAAGCGCGGCGGGGCTGCAGAGCCCGGGAAGCGGTGCGTGACGTTGAGGTAGAACCAGCATGCTTCCCCATGGGCTTACGCCTCTGAGTTCTGGATATCCTCAAAGGGCCGCAAGCAGGCTGGGCAAGTTCCTTGATGGAGTTTATGTATTCCTCCAGGGACTGCGAGAGGTCCTCATGCGACTCTGTTATTGTCGGTAGAGTAGCCACGGACAAGAGTAATCTTCTGGGTTTCATCCTGGAGAGAGATGAGAGATTGTTAGTATTTCTTGTATTCTGTATCTACACTCTTAAAAATAAAGGTTCCAAAAGGGGGTTTTTGCAACAAGGCCATATAAGAACCAATTTTTGTTTTTTTCTCACCAAAGAACCTATACAGTAAACTGTTCTTAAAAGCACCATTGTGCTTTTACCGTGAACCGTGAACACACACCCGGAGCAGTGGGCAGCCATTTATGCTGCGGCGCCCGGGGAGCAGTTGGGGGTTCGGTGCCTTGCTCAAGGGCACCTCAGTCGTGGTATTGAAGGTGGGAGAGAACGCTGTACATTCACTCCCCCCACCTACAACCCCTGCCGGTACGAGACTCGAACCCACAACCTTTGGGGTATGAGTCCGACTCTCTAACCATTAGGCCACGACTTCCCCACAATCTAGAGCCTAGAGCCTGTTGTGCAATGGAAAAATAAAGCATTCAAAAGGGGTTCCCAATTTTGGGTTCTAAAATAACCTTTTAGTGAATAGTTCTTAAAATAACTTTTTTTTCTTATTGTGAAAAGCATCTTAATATTCTAAAGAGCGATTTTTCACTGCAAAGAATCCTTTGTGCAATAGAAGGTTTCAATAGATGTTCTTCATGGAACTATAGATGCCAATAAAGAACCCTTTTTTAAAGAATCTTTAATGACCTTTGAAAGTCAAGAAATGTTTAGTTGTAATGAACATAGACCATTCAGTAAATCAGATATGTCAAACTCACCTGAAGGACAAGCTTGTAGGATCGCAGTGCTGATTGTTGTGCAGAGGTTGTGTCTGAGACTGTGTTTGGTTTGATCTGGTTTAGAGGCAGCTCATCGCCTTTTATTGGCCACAGCAGTAAAGGATCATAAGCCAAGGCTAATGGCACTAAATTTAGCTACGCTTTGACCTTACATGCCTGACAGGAAGAGTGTGTGTGCTGAACGGAGAGTAAAGAGGAAGCTGACCAATGGGACCCCGCCGTAGCTGCCCTGAATGTTTACATTGCAGTAACAATGAGGCCCTAGGAGCACTCAGCCCTCCACCTACATGACGCTTGACTGCACTCACTCACAATTACAACAGCTGCCAACACCATTACAATATTTTATTTTGGTCACAGGTTTTTGTTGAAGAGCAGGTCCTCAGAGATCAATTGGGGAAAAGTCTGGTGGGCTGCAGCTCTGACCTCTGTCTGGCTTTGTGATTGTGTTGAATGATTATTTAGTTAAAGGGGTCATATGATGTTGCTAAAAAGAACATTATTTTGTGTATTTGGTGTAATGAAATGTGTTTATGCAGTTTAAGGTTAAAAAAACACATTATTTTCCACATACTGTACATTATTGTTCCTCTATGCCCCGCCTTTCTGAAACGCATTGATTTTTACAAAGCTCATCGGTCTGAAAAGCGAGGTGTGCTCTGATTGGCCAACTATCCAGTGGATTGTGATTGGCCGAATACCTCAAGCATGTGTCATAAATGTTACGCCCCTTACCATATTGTGAGGCCGTGTCCCGGCCGGAGCAAAGAGACAAAAACATTAAAGTACATTTGATAGACATTACTTTTGTCTATTATTTAATCAAATTTATTAATGTAATTTCCAAGTAACGCAGAACGTCAGGGTGTTGCCATTCAAAGGAGTATGCTTTTTTTTTGTTTTAAAGAAATGTAAAAAATTTTTTGAGAAAGATGCATTAAATTGAAACAAATGTGATAGTGAAGATATTCATAATGTAACTAAAGATTTCTATTTTAAGTGCTGTTTATTTGAATTTTTTTCAAATAAACAGAAAAGAATCCTGAAAAATTTATCATGTATCATGGTTTCCATAAAAATATTAAGCAGCACAACAGTTTTCAACAGTGTTAACAACAACAAGACATGTTTCTTGATCACCGAAACAGCATATTAGAATGATTTCTGAAGGATCGCTTTGCCATCACAAGTATAAACTGCATTTTAAAATATATCAAAAATAGAAAACCGTCAGTGCTTTAAAGTGTACAAAAATTTTACAATATTAATATTTATACTGCATTTTTTATCAAAGATTTCTTTCAAAAAACAACTCCAAGCCTTGGAGCCAGTAGTCGATTGTCATATGTCTTGTCAATTTGATTAGACAATGCAAGTATATTTCCTTTTGTGCTGACTGTGGCCTATTACAGCACTGTAACATTTTAATTTAGCACTTCTGATCACGATGAATATATATATATATATATATATATATATATATATGTAGCATCTGGACCAATCCAACACACTATATATTCTCTTTTTATATAACAAATACTCTGTAACCTCAGTTAACAAGCCATAAGAGGACCCATGAACCCTTCCCCCCGGAATGCGTAA